TCAAGCTCTAAGGCAAAGCAATAGTGATAAAAACCAGATAATATTTGTACAGAGAGAGACAGGTTGATAAATGGAATAGAATTGAAGACCCAGAAATAAAGTCACACACAATATGGACACTTGATAAAGAAGCTAAAAATATACACTGTAAAAATAAAGCTTCTTCAATAAATGATGCTGGTTTAACTGACAATCTTTATGTTGAAAAATGAAAATAGATATGCCAGAAAAAATTTCCTAAATAGAATGCCAATGTCTCATGTTATAAGATTAATAATTGATAAATGAGATCTCATGAAACTGAAAAGATTCTGTAAGGCAAAGGATATAGTCAATAGGAGAAATGAGCAAACTACAGAAAAATCTTTACTAACCCCATGTCTGATAGAGGATTAATATCCAAAATCTATAGTGAATTCAAAAGCTAACCTCCAAAAAAAATCAAACAACCCAGTAAAAAAATGATTTATAGAGCTAAACCAAGAATTCAACACAGATGTATCTTAAATGGCTGAGAAGCACTTTAAAGAGATGGTCAAAGTCCTTAGTGATCATGGAATTGCAAATCAACCAAAACTGCTAAATCAAAAATTTAGGTGACATTTTGGCTAGGATGTGGAGAAACAGGAACATTCCTCCATTGCTGGTGGGATTGCAAACTGATAGAAGCACAATGAAAATCATTCGGGAGGTTCCTCAGAAAATTGGAAAGAAATCTACCTGAAGAACCAGCTATACTACTCATGGGCATATACCCAAAAGATGCTCCACCATACCACAGGGTCACAATCTCCAGTATGTTCATAGCAGCCTTATCTGTGATAGCCCAAAGTGGAAATTAACCCAGATTTTCCACAATGGAAGAATAGATACAGAAAATGTAGTCCATTTAAATAATGGAATACTACTCAGCTAATAAGAATAAGGATATCATGAGTTGTGCAGGCAAACAGATGAAAGAAGAAAACATCATCCTGAGTGAGGTAACTCAGAGACAAAAGGATGGCATGGTAAGCACTCACTAATAAGTGGGTATTATCCAAAAACTTACAAAATATATAGGATAAAATTCATAGATCTCAAGAAGGTTGGTTAAGAAGCTGAAGTGACCAAGTAAGGATGCTTCAATACCACTTGGCAGATAGAAAGAGCAATCACAGGAGGTAGACAAAAAATGGATCTAGGTGGGAAAGGGAAGGGAAGGGGAAAAAGGAACATGCCCAAGTATTGGAGTGGAGGAAACAGGAGAGGAACCCTTAGGTTCAGCAGAAAGAATCGAAATATGCAACCTCAGGGAGTGAGAGGTCCGAGGACCCTCTAGAATTTAGCAGAGAACTGGGAGATTAAAACTCTTGGGCTCGCAGGGAAAGACCTTAGATAAAATGCCTAAAGGAGAGGAAACTTGTAGAATCCACCTCCAGTAGAAAGAGAGGGCTTCAAGTGGATGGATGGTGTTGCCATTCTACAGTTAAAAAGCACTGACTCAGAATTGTTTCTGTTTAAACAACTTCAGGGACAAATATTGAGAAAAGATTGAGGGAGAGGAGATTCAGTGACTGGACTATCTTGTGATCCGTTTCACAGGGAAGCTTCAAGGCCTAATACTATTATTGATGTTATGGTATGCTTGCAGACAGGGACCTAGCATGGCTGTATCTAAGAAGCCCAACAATCAGCTGACCGAGACTGAAGCTGATGATTACACCAAACCAATGGACTAAAGTTTGGGAACCCTATGGATGAAACATGGAAAGGCTAGAAGAATATGAGAAGGAGGGTGACCCCATAGGAACACCATTAGTCTCAACTAACCAGACCCCTGAGATCTCTCAAAGACTGAACCACCAACTACATAGCATATACTAGCTAGTATGAGGCCCCAAACACATACACAGCAGCAGACTGCTTGGTCTGGCCTCAGTGAGAGAAGATGTGCTTTATCCTTGAAAGACTTGAAGCCTCAGGAAATGGAGAGGCCAGCTGGGAGTGGGGGCTGAGGTGTTGTGGATGTGGACATCCTGTTGGGGACAGGGGGAGGTGGAATGGGATGTGGAACTGTGGAATTGCAGACTGGAAGGGGGTAATGACTAGACTGTAAAAAATTTAAAAGTAATAAAAATATTTGGAAATAAAATGGCTTATGGAGATAAATTTGAAAGAAAACTAAGTATAACTTATCTAAAATGAATCTTCAGTTCTTTGATTAGCATGGTAAATACATTTGTAACTAAATTCTAAGGAAAAAAGATAAATGAAATTAATGTAAAACTCAGAATTGGGTGTGGTAGTTCATACCTTTATTTCCAGCTGGGACACCCTACTTAGACAGTAAAGGAAACCAACAAGAATTCTGGTGACGATTTAGGTTTATGAAGAGGCTATCTTCCAGACCTAGCCTAGCAAGCAGCAGAAAACAGTAATTTCAGCAAAGTAATTCTGGCAAGGATAGAAGCAAGATGTTATGGAATCTTTCTCTGTCACTCATGAAAGCTCATAATGCCAAGAGTATATCAGATATGTCTGTGCATGGCTGCCTAGAAGAACCATTATGTGAAGCTGTAAAGGACAAGACTCCATTGCCCAGGAGACCCCATGATGTTGAAAATGCTAGATCCATAGAATATCTGCCAAGTAGAACTCTTAAGAGTGAATGGAAAAACTCCAAATCAAAAGTATTTAATAGTCAACAATGATGCAAGGAATTGAAGACCTGAAGAACATTTTGATCTCTGACATGGAGATGAATATCATGGACTTTGCTCAGCATGTTTATCACCTTGCTTTGTTCCAGTATTTTCTTACTGTGCTCCCTTTGCTCAAGCTTAAAATGGTAATGTATATTCTGTGCCATTATATGTTGTAAATATGTGATCTGCTTTTTTATTTGGATTTTACAGGGGACTACAGATGCATGAATTTCAGAAGAGATTTTGAACATTAGACTTTAAACAAATATGAGGATGATTTAGACTATGGGAGTTTTTGAAGTAGGACTATTTTCATTTTGTAACATGCATGGCTACAAGCATATGCGTGCTTACGAATGAAATGGACTGTTTTCTATAGGAATGGCCCCATAGACTATTCTGTTTAAAAGTTTTGCACATGATGAGTGTCAGTATTATAATTTGTGGCCTTTGTGTAGTATGTATAGAGTTAGTAGTCTAAATGTGTCACTGTGGGGGCAGGCTTAGAGGTTAAGAAGCTCAAGTCTTGCCAGAGTATATCAGATTCCACTTTTGGTGCCTATGGATTAAGATGTAGAATGTTCTCATTTTGAAAACCATTCCTGACTGTATACTGCCATTATTCCCACTATGATGATAAGAGACAAAAATCTATGAAACTATAAGCTAGCCCTATTTAAGTGTTTTGATTTATGAGAGGAGTGGTATTCACTGTGTTGCCTCACAACAACAAAATCCTAAGAAAAGATAGTACCCTCCCAGATAAGGATTGTATTATGTACCTACTGCCATTTTTCATTCTAGAATTGAGGTAAACTTGAACATTGGCAAGTTATTTTGTGTTGTCATATTTATCGTGAGATCATATCGTATTATATTATATCGTGATATTCCCTTGTTGCATTGAAAAAATCATTGTTTCCTTGAGATTTATTCATAGGCAATATTCTTAGAACTTGTTGTTTACAAATTCTAAGAGTCAGAATTCTTAAAATATTTCCTTTGCTCTAGAGCTAAGTTCTTACCTAGCAAGCAGTAGAAACCAGCAGTTTCAGCAAAGTAATTCTGGCATTATAGTCAAAGATAGAAGCAAGATGTTATGGAATCTTTCCCTGTCACTCATGAAAGCTCATAATGCCAAGAGTATATCAGATATGTCTGTGTAATTTTAATTAAAAATTAAAGAGGTAAGAAAAATTACACAATGGAATTTTAATGAAGCATTCTCTCTGAACAGTGCACTTTGGCACTGTAATGAAGTACTTCAGAAAAGGCATTTTTTTCCACAAGTTATTAATATACAGTTAAACAAGATATGGTACAAAGAGTAGAACATTCCAAGTACAAGTGGATGTGATTCAGTAATGCTATGGAGGGCAAGAGAAAGAAACAGGAGAATCTCTAGAAGTTTAATCTGTACAGAAAAATAAAAAAATCCTGCAGCTAGATGTATTGATGCAAGCCTTTCTTTATAGTACTTAACAGAGAGAGGCGGGTGGTTATGTATGACTTCAAGACTTGCCTGCTATACATATTACCATCCAGTAAAATCATAGACTTTGTCTTGTTGAATCAAAAGAACCAGCAGTTGATCACTAAATGAATTAAAGGCATCAATAAATAAAGTAAAAAAACCTATTTCTAAATAAGTAGTATTGCTAGGACTAACTCTTGTCTTGTCTTGCACTCATACTTATTGACCTCCATATAACAGTAGATACAAAGAGGTGATCATGCACACAATGGTACACACATAGATATACAGAAAAACAAACAGTATAGCAACCATTGTGGTACATTCTTTCTAATCTCATCAGTTCGGAAGCACATGCACATGTCTGTAAGTTCTGTGCCAGTATATTATCTAGTAGCAATTTCCAGGCTATGACTTATTGAATGAATTAATCATAGAATATAATTTAATTATATTGTTTCTAAAATCTAATTTGTTTAATGATTTGATGATATACTAGTTGGTTACCATAATTGAACTCCTAGAAAAGCTAACATCCAGATACAAGCAGATCTTATATTCTAGAATGAAGTGAGTGCCAATTCATAGACAGAAAATTTATATCATCTATCAATAAAGGATAAATAAAATATGATTTGAGGGACTATATTTAATGAATGGTAATACTGAATTTTCATAATCCTAACCAATTTACCCAATCTATTTACATCTATATTCATGGTGAAGGTATTAAATTGCATATTTTATAGAAACAAAGATGAACTATGAAATTTACTGCACTGTATATGCAACATATGTGATCTATATGGTTTTCTTCTTATTTTATGCAATTTACACAGGTATAATTTTAAGAACTATCAATATATTTTGTCTCTTGTATTTGCCATTGAGGAGATCAATGAGAACCCTCATCTTTTACCAAACATATCGCTTGGATTTGATTTCTACAATGTAAGATTCACTGAGAAAGACATTCTAATGAATATCTGTATTTGGCTCACAGCTCATGGACAGGGATATATTATACCTAATTATAACTGTGAAAAGAAGCATTTTACTGCTGCACTTACAGGAACATCATGGGCAACATCTGCCCAAACGGGAATGTTGCTTCAACTCTTTAAATTTCCACAGGTAAGAAAATGTGGAATATGGGAACCAGAAATTGGTCCTCCTTTATTGCTATAATGATTATCTCTAAAGGTAAAAGTGAGATAACTGAATTATTCAATATCAAAGCAAGTACACAAGCAAATAGTGACCAATTCATATTCCTCTTGCTTGCAAGAGAAAGGATGGGGAGGTACATTAATCCAGGATGGTTCTTGAAGCTAATAGGCTTGGCAAGTATTTCTGTAAACTGCTGTAAGTACAATTTTTCTTTAAAATTGGGACAAAACTATCTTTGTTCCTGATGTTGTCTTTTGCTTCAGGAATAAAATTGTGTTTGATGGTAAAATTCTTCTTTCCAACTTGGTTTAGCTTTCTTTTGGACCTTATGATTCTCTCTTGAGTGATCGAAGTCAGTATTCTTCTCTCTACCAGATGGCTCCCAAGGACACATCTCTTTCACTTGGCATTGTATCTTTGATTGTTCATTTTAGGTGGTCTTGGGTTGGTCTCATCCTCCCAGATGACCACAGAGGAAATAAAATTCTATCAGATTTTAGAGATGAGATGGAGAGGAAAAGAGTCTGCATAGCTTTTGTGAAAATGATCCCAGTCATCTGGACTTCATATTTTAACAAATTCTGGGAAAATATGGATGACACAAATGTTATAATTATTTATGGTGATATTGATTCTCTAGAAGGCCTAATGAGAAATATTGGGCAAAGTTTATTGACATGGAAAATCTGGGTCATGAACATTGAACCTCATGTAACTGACTATGCTGATTATTTCTTGTTAGACTCATTCCATGGGAGCTTAATTTTTTCTCATTATTATAGAAAAAGTTTTGAGTTTACCAGTTTCATTCAAACAGTTAATCCTTACAAATACCCAGAAGATATTTATCTTCCTAAGTTGTGGCATTTGTTCTTCAAGTGTTCATTTTCTGATATTGATTGCCACCTTTTGTACAACTGTCAAGCCAATGCTTCTTTGGATCTATTACCTAGTCACATATTTGACATGGCCATTAGTGAAGAGAGCAACATAATATACAAGGCCATTTATGCTGTGGCTCACAGTCTCCATGAGATAAGTCTTCAGCAAGTACAAAAGCAACCATATGAATATGGGGAGAGTATCATATTCTTCCCCTGGCAGGTAATATTCTTTCTATAGTATTTGTATTGCTAGCACTCTGACATGAGATTTTTCAATGACACTAAATTTATAATTTTTTTATGTTGTCCAGAATTACATAAATTTTGTGTTTCTAAACTTACCTCAACATCAAGTCAATTTCAAGTGATTGTGACAAAAAATGGATTGTAATATTAATAGTTGTAATAAGAAAGTCAACACAGTTTCTTTATATTACTTAAAAAGAATTTTAAAACTTTACAATTACATAAAATGATGCAGTAGTTTTATACCTATGTAATGCCTTTTAATTACCATTTATGCATCAGCACCCTCATTTATTCTGCAAATAATTATGCGCTTGCTAGGTTTCAAAAAGTTAAGACTTGTATGAATCAGAGGACATCGATTTATTACATGACTTTGAGTCAAAGATTTCTTTTGAAGTTGAGTGGTCATTCAGAAGCAGAATCATATCCCACACACTCAAGCTCTCATTTACTTCACATCACTGGAAGCTGCATTAATATTGATATATCATATCAGTAACTGAGATCTCTAAGATACCTTCCAAAACATAGGATGGACACAGTTCAATATAATTTCATGAATTTCTTTCAGCTTAACAGATTCTTGAAGGACGTTGAAGTGAGAGATAACACAAGTTTATATAAGAGACAGAAATTAAATGCAGATTATGACATTCTTAACATTTGGAATTTACCAAAGGGTCTTGGCCTAAAGGTGAAAATAGGATCATTTTCTTCAAATGCTCCTGAGAGCCAACAGTTGTCCTTATCTGAGCAGATGGTACAATGGCCAGAAGGATTTTCAGGGGTGAGTTATGTAATAAATGAATCATTTAGTTTATGTTAATAATAAAAATTTCCAATATAATGTTATTTGACTGTATGAAGTCCCTTTACTCTTCTGTTATCATTACAAAATAAAAAAAGAACTACTACTAGTATACTGGGCTTTCAACTTCACTGATTCAGATTAATGGAAGTGTTCAGTGTTAAATTAATTCCCCAATATTCACTTGTATTAGTGCTATAAGTCTTCACTTGTCACACGTTACAGACACTTCACAGAAAAAAATTACCATCCTCAAAATGACTCATGTATCAATGTGTATTAGAAACTCTCTCAGTTGTAATTAATATTATAAAACAATATAAATGTTATTCCTAATGTGTGATCAAACACCAAACCAAAAGTGTTTTTTTTTTTAAGACACAGTATTTTTGCTTATGGTATCAGATGTAAGAAAGTCCACCATGAATAGAGCATGACAACAAGGGGTAGTCATAGAATAAGGCACTAGTACCAGAAACATAATGCTTCTCCCCACACATATTTTTACTTAACAAAATGGGAAACCTGGGCCTGAGGAAATGATTATAATGTAGCAACTCTCACATAAAGTAACATAATTCCTCCAGCAAGTCTGAATCTCCTAAAGTTTCAATGACTTCCCAAATTGGGCCAGCTATAAAACTCAAATTATTTAGCCAATGTATAACATTTCATTCAAAATACCATGGAATAACTCAGTTAGTGTCCCTTAACTGTAACTGTAACTGTAACTCTGTATATAAGCAGGAGTTCCATCATCAATCTATGGATCTATGATCAATTATGCTTTGCCTTGTAAGACTCTGGAAAAGGAAAACTTTATGGTGTGTACATGTGTAAGGTATTGACTTATCTGTCTCCTACAAATTAATATGTACCTGAGACAGCTTATGAAACAGTTTGAGGATTCAGTGCATTTTATTTCTAAATGCAAGAATTCTAACTCTATGGGGCTGCTAATGATATAATATCCTCTGAAGACAGACTACAATGAATATTGTAGCCTTCTTCTATCTCCTATACATTTTTTTTAAAGAAACATAAGCCAATAAACAGTGAGACTAAGAATTTAAGAGGCCCTTTCAACTTATCTAAGTTTATTTACATATTCATTTCTAGAAATACACATATATTTGATCTCATGATCATTCTTAATCCTTTCCAATTGACTGTCAATATTCACAGCCATGGTGAATATAAAGATGCTGAAACCAGTAGTCAAAAAGAACAGGCATATTCTATGTTTGGAAAGACACACGGCCTTCTATATCATGTTCCCAATTAGCTACCTTTCTCAAATTTGACCTTCAATTCAATACGGTTATAAATTCACTAAACTTGTGATAATTCTCAAAAGAATCTTAAGTACATTTGCTTTCTCAGGGACACAAACTTGGAAATTTTTGGCTAATATTCAAAATTCTATTTATTAATATCATTCATTAAGCCCTTAGTATTAGGGAACATTTTTTTTTTCATTCTTCCCAGATCCCTCAGTCTATGTGCAGTGTGAGTTGTAGACCTGGATTCAGGAAAGTACCTCTGGAAGGCAAGGCTGTCTGCTGCTACAATTGTACTCCTTGTTCAGACAATGAGATTTCTAATGATACAGGTAAATGTACATTTTAAAGAAAACTTTCCCATCTCTCCACAGGCTTCCATGATATACTTACAAATGAAAATGATCTGAATAGAAGTTAGATATAAATCTTTTTGCATTTTGTTTTGAAACATATATGACAAAATTTGTCACCATCACCTTGAAATGATCTACCATAGCCATTAAAAATAATGCTTGATTTACAGCTTTGATCTACTGACAATATAGACTATGGCAGAAAAAAATATTTTTTCATGTACTTCAGAGTAGGTTTCATTTCACTGCACTATTTCATTGTGAACATGTATTAATAAAGTACTAAATATTCCATCATTAAGATGTATTTCAATAATTTTAAAAGTCATATAAAAGGATCATACCTATTTTTACTTCATAGTGATTATTCCCTGCTCATTTTTAAAAAATATTTTTACTTGTTTGATAATTTGGAACAATGTGTTTTGGTCAGGTTCACTCCTCCCATTTCTCCCAGATTTTTTCCTTCTTCCCTAACTACATAAATCTGTGTAAATTAATCTGTCTAATACAGTCTGTGTTACTCATCTACTGTAGTGTATGTGTATCTCACTTGAGGGTTGTCTACTATCTCAGGTGATGCACACTGAAAAATTATTCACTCTTTTCCAAGTAGCTATTAACTGCAAACATCTGATTTTCACAGGGTGTGTCTTCATGCCTATCTATGCTTGAATATTCAGATATCAAACCATTGCCTCCTGTGATAGAAATTGATAGGCTCAACTGCCCAATCAGTTCAAAAAACACTTTTTTTTTCATATAGTTATCTGCACACTGTAGTTGTTGCTAGTTTCCTCCCTTCTCTTGAATAAGATTTCACAGAAGCCTTTGTTTTGTAAGTGAACTCTTTATGAATGATTAGGGGTTGTGATGCTTTATTGGGAGATGTGCCACTCAGGGCAAGCTTTCAGGTTTTAATCATCCTTCATTTCAATCTGGTCTATCTCTCTCATCTCTACCTCCTGTCTTCAAATCAAGACTTATCTAGTGTTCCAGTGTCATCATTGCTTAGTTGTGTCTATGCTTCCTGCTTGATATAAATGGACTAACATTCTAAAACTACAAGCAAAACACCAATTAAATAATATTTAGAAGCTATGCTTCATGCTGTCTGTTCACAACAACATAATATTAACTAAGACAGAATAATCACACAACACCTTAAATAGTTTTGAAAATTTTACTTAGAAAATACATGGCTAAGTTGGGCAGTGGTGGTGCATGCCTTTAATCCCAGCACTTGGGAGGCAGAGACAGGTGGATTTCTGAGTTCGAGGCCAGCCTGGTCTACAGAGTGAGTTCTAGGACAGCCAAGGATATACAGAAAAACCTTGTCTCAAAAAACCAAAAAAAAAAAAAAACCATGGCTAATATTCATCAAAATGCAATGAACAATTATTTATTGTTATTGATATTGTCAGTATTATTAGGAAGATGTCTTTTTCTATTTTATATTGCTTTATATGGATACTATAGATTGGATCTTTAAATAAAATAAATAAATTGTTGGCACTATTTGAAATGTGAGAATAAACTTTTTGCTAGGATCTGGAAAGTGTGCCTTTTATTCTCTTTTCAAACACAGAAAATATGTGTGAGAAGATTACAAATGTCAGACACTTTGCTTACAACTCTAGGATTAATGATCTACTTCTGATATTACTGCATAAACTGATGAACAGTTTGCTCTTATGAGACAATACTATGCAATTATTCCCACTTTTCAGTATTATTGCTTTTAGGACTATATCTAGAATATCAGTTAATGTTATAGATGTGAAAAACATGTATATACATGTTTGATATATATATATATATACATATATATGTATATATATATGTATATATACATATATATGTATATATATACATATAGATACTCATGTATGTATTTGTATACACATACATATATGTAAAGAGAGAGAGATAGGCAAAGATAGAGAGAGATAGAGAGGCATGGGTGTGTGTGTGTATGGTGTGTATGTGTGTATGTGTGTGTGTGTGTGTGTGTGTGAAGTGAGAGAGACAGACAGATAGAGAGGCAGAGAAAAATTTTAAGACACAGAGAATGTAGTTTTATATCAATCAAAAAAAGACTAAATATATAACAGAATTAGTACTCTCATAGCTGAATTTCAATTATGAATTATTTTAAATAAGACAAACTACTTGATATTATCATGGAATCATGAAGTCCATATTGAATTTTTATCTTACATTTTAATTACATTATAACAAGAAGGAGCAATATTTTAATGATACAAAAACATTGAGTAAGAGTTTATGAAGATTTACCGTCAATTTCAGTGTGATAAAAGTAGTGTATCCTGGTAAAGCAAAGAATTTGAATTGATGAACTGTATATGATTTGATTGCTTAGAGTGGAAGCTGTTGGCTGTATTCTCCTCCAACCAACTTGATAGAAGTTTTTCATGTCCCAATTCCCATTCATTTAAAAGCTTTTCATTCAACTGAAGAAAATTTGATTCTCTATAGAGATGCTTATTCCTGTTGAAAGATGCACTCTCAACTAATTACTGTGATTGTAGCTGCATTCTACAGAGTGAGAAGTTCTGTAATCTGAAGGTTTCTGTTTAATTTACAGTTGTCTATTGAATAGATGAGAAACTGATGATGGTGCTTATATGCAAATTACATAGTCAACATTTGAAATGTGTTCATATTTTCCTTTCCAACTAGTGCTTATATTATGTAAAATTTTGACATATTTTTTTATGATAATACTGACATGGGGCTATGGACTATGCTGGACTTTAGTTGGCAGAGTACATAAATATTTTCATGCACAAAAGACAGGCTGAAGACAGCCTGGTGTCTATGAATGCATTATAAAGACATTTACTAGGTTGCTAATTGATTTAAAAGAATGTCTACACAACATTTGTCATACAAGTTATTTATAGTTGTAGACTATATTGCTATGTTTGAAATTTCCTTTGAGCTATAAGGCATGATTTTGGATGTCATTTTACTGCTTTAAAGAGATTTTGTCTATGCAACAATAGCTCTATCCACTTAACACCCAATTCATATCTGCATGCAGTTTATCTTCTATTTGTAGTTTCTTATTAGGTATTTTAATTATTTACATTTCAGATGTCATCCCCTTTCCTGATTTCTTTTCCATAGAAATCCCCTATTCTTTTCCCCCTCCTCCTTTTTGCTTTTATACACTTTTAATTACATGCAAGTATTTTAAAAATCTCAGTAGCTAGAGTAAAACAAGGCTAGTGTATATAGTTTCATGATCACCTTCAATGCCATGTCTTCTGTTTTCCTCATCACCAAGACCTCCAACTTAGACAAAGTTTTTGAAACTTCAGTAATTCTTTTTTTCTTTTTTTTCCATTATTTTTTTTATTGGATATTTTATTTACATTTCATATGTTATCCCCTTACCCCATCCCCCACCCACAAGGGAACCCCCCATCCCCTTACCCCTCATCCTTCTTCTCTGTGGATGTAACCCCCACCTACCCCCCCACTCCCACTTCCCCACCCTCAAAATTCCCACCCCCTGGGGCGTCCAGCCTTCATGAGGTCAAGGATCTCATCTTCCACCTGTGCCCGGCAGGGCCCTCTACTCTTACATATTCAGCTGAAGCCCTGGATCCCTCCATAAGTGCTCCCAGGCTGGTGGTTAGGACCCTGGGAGCTGTGGCTGGTTGGTATTGTTGCTCTCCTCATGGTGCCATAAACCCTTTCAGCTCCTTCAGTCCTCACTCTAACTCCTCCATTGAGAACCTCATGATCAGTTCAATGGCTAGTTGTGAGCAGCTGCCTCTGAATATGTCAGACTCTTGGAGGCCTCTGAGGAGACATCCATATCAGGCCCTTATCGGCATGTACTTCCTGACTTCCACATCAGCATGTACCTTTGGTGACTGCATATGGGGTGGATACTCAGGTGGAAAGGTCTTCAAATGGCCCCTCCTTCAGTTTCTGTCCCTCACTTTGTCTCCATGTTTGCTCCCTTGAGTATTTTGTTGCTCCTTCTAAGAAGAACTGAATCACCCCCACTTGGTCTTCCTTTTTTATGAGCTTCATGTGGCCTGTGAGTTGCATCTTGGGCATTTCAAGGTTCTAGGCTAATATCCAATAATCAGTGAGTGAATACCATGTGTGTTCTTTTGTGATTGGCTTACTTCACTCAGGATGATAATTTCTAGTTCCATCCATTTACCTAGGAACCTCTCGAATTCATTGTTTTTAATAGCTGAGTAATACTCCATTGTGTAAATATACCACATTTTTTGAATCCATTCCTCAGTTGAAGGACATCTGGGTTCTTTCCAGCTCCTGGCTATTATAAATAAGGCTGCTATGAACATAGTTGAGCATATTTCCTTGTTATATGCTCGAGCATCTTCTGGGTATATGCCTAGGAGTGGTATAGCTGGATCCTCAGGTAATGCTATGTCCAATTTTCTAAGGAACCGCCACACTGATTTCCAAAGTGGTTGCACCATCTTGCAGTCCCACCAACAATGGAGGAGTGTTCCTCTTTCTCCACACCCTCGCCAGCATCTACTATCACCTGAGTTCTTAATCTTAGCCATTCTGACTGGTGTGAGATAGAATCTCAGAGTTGTTTTGATTTGCATTTCCCTGATGACTAAGGACACTGAACATTTCTTTAGGTGCTTCTCGGCCATTCGAATTTCTTCCATTGAAAATTCTTTGTTAAGCTCTATACCCCATTTTTTAATAGGGTAATTTGGTTGTCTGGTGTCTACTTTCTTGAGTTCTTTGTATATATTGGATATTAGCCCTCCATTAGATGTAGGATTGGTAAAGATCTTTTCCCAATTTGTTGGCTGTCGTTTTGTCCTATTGACAGTGTCCTTTGCCTTACAGAAACTTTGCAATTTTATGAAGTCCCATTTGTCAATTCTTGATCTTAGAGCATATGCCATTGGAGTTCTGTTCAGGAACTTTTCCCCTGTGCCCAG